AAAGGAAAGCTACCCTTGGCTATACAATCTGAGCAATACAGAAATGATTAAAATTATGTTAATATACCCTGATGTTTGAAATTCATTATCAGGGACATACAAAATGAAATAAAAAGGAGAAAGCTGCAAGTTAATTTATAGTGCACTTTAAGTATAATTTATTGAATTCAATTAATCACTTCAGATCACTGATATTCACAGCTGGTTCAGAAGGGACCTGATTAGTCCTGCAGATTGGATCTCAAAATCCCCCAATTCAAGGCCATTAGCAACAGGGCTTGAATGGAACAGAAACCACAAGACACCGTGACTCTGTAAAGCAGCCTTAATGAAAACATAAGATGGCACAAAGGGGGGAAATAACAATTATTTAATTAAACAAAACTAGCCTTGGGTTTAATTAAACTATTTTGATCAAAGTTGATGTTTTTACTGATTTTCAATGAAACACTATCCCGGGATATAAAGTGAACTGCAAGGAAAAAATGTTTTTTAATGCTCTCAAATCTCCAACTGTTAAATCATGACAGCTGCTCTCTTCTTTGTGTTAGATGGGGACATGTGGCTTCACATTCACACAAGTAAATCCTGTACCCCTCTGGAGTTATAAAAGGTCTCATACAGGGGTGTGGACATTTCCATCTTGACCACAGGGATCATTCTGGTATGGTTAGGCATACATTCACGACAAAGGTCTGGGAATGATCAGAACTAGGATTACACTATAGTTAAGATTAGGTTTGTGCAAGGGTAGGACTAAGATACAGTAAGTGTATGATATGATCTGGTATTTTTTCTTTCTTTTGTATTGTGCACTGGTACAGTACCTCACATGAATACCAGGTAAAATTATAAGGTAAAACATACCTTATAGGACAAAGCATCCAAAAACTGCTTGCTGTAACAAAGCATATTTTAAAAAGTGAGAGACAAATAACAATAAAAACGAAAACAAAACCATTGACACCACAATATGATTCCAAATTCCATTAAATTTCCATTCTATACAACAAAATAACTGACATCTTCAGTAATGTTAATATATTAGCGAGTACGAGAGTCCAGGAAAGAGATCGATTCGTACTTCCTGTCAAAGCATCAGAAATTTTGACACTTTATATTGGATACTACTATATTCATTACAGACATTTTGAGCTTTATTCAGCAAAGTGCTGGGTAAATTTAAGTTTTCCTTAAGAGAAAAATACAATCATATAGGCATTGATTTCAAACACATTATGAACAAGTGAAAATTGAAAATAGATATTTTAAGCAGCATCATCTGTAGGAAGATGAGGGAAATTAGAAGATTAAGGAAAAAATATAACAGAATTCACTGCAGCCAAATAATTTCTTCTAGTTGCATTACCTTCATGTGTCTAATTATTGTACCCAACCACCTGAAGCAAAATAATTGAACTGAGAAGTAAATCTGATCAAACTATTCTACCAGAGAACCTCAACTGAGTTTTAATTAAAAAAAATTACAGCACCAGTGAGGGAAATATTCATTTTTTTACACTATGTATACAAAAGAAAATCTCAACTAGTTGTTTGATATAGTCACATGGATTCCATACTCTTTTAAAAATGCTCTAAAATATAGCAATTGCTTAGCTCTAGGAATTTAAAATGGTCAAACACACCCCTTACGTTGGAGTGGAAATCACATCATTAGGAATTTGCTTGGAAACAAAGTGTGAGAAATAGAGATCTGTAATGTATGAAATTACTCCACTTCCCAATTGAGTCTCCTAAAAAACGGGATTTGATCTAATCTGATTCTAAATGTTTTAAATACCTATTATTTTACTTTTTAAAATGTACCATTACTAATTGTCAATAAAAATCACCTAACCACCCCTGAACTATCTAATATATTTTATGCTACAAGCCATAAAGTCAGTGTCAAATGGGGGATATTTGCAGCTCTTCCTGACAGCATTGCAAACTCACAGGCACACATTGCCAGGAGCATGTGACTGTCTGAGTACCCCCCCCCATCTTCAGAACACCAATCTTCAGCCAGTCCTCTGAACAAATGCTTTTACTCGTCCAGCAAGTAATTTTTGCTTCAAGGATCCTTATAAAGCTCGCTCCAGTACATTTAATGAACTCGAGACTCACTACGAATCAGTTCTCTACAAATCCTCACAACAGTGTAAAAATGGAGAAACAAAATGTGGATGTTCAATATTAAATTGGCGGCTTTGAAATTTAATAAGAGGTCCCACGGCCCCCTTTTTAATATCTGATAGCAAGGCTTTAGTTTTATACACAGTCATCCTGGAATCACACTACATTTCTTAATAAACTCGATGCTTGTAAGTCCTATATTCAGCAGGGAGCTCATCCTGCAGTTTTCACCAGTGTCTAACTTCTTAAAGCAGAGGGCAACATAATATCTGTGCACCAAGGTCAAGACACTCGCTAGGAAGGCCAGGCTGTGCTGCGAGAAACAGATCTCTTCTTACCTCCTAGGGAAGGTGAACTTGAGTGTGTTCTGAATGAACCCGTAGCAACAGGGGCTGATGACAAAGGCAGCTTGGGCTTTCACACAGAGCTCAATCACCATGTCTGTTGCCACTCCACAGGCGTGAAGTGCAACCTGAACGCACACAGACAAAAAAAAAATCCCCCTCTGAGCAATGGCAAGAAAGCTGACAAACACAACAGTCAACACGCACATCAAACACCAATTCTTTTCAAAACTAAAAACAACATGCTTTTTTTCTTTCGCTTATGTGTCGGAAGTAAAACAAAGGAAAACACCATGTCTGACTTTCAATCTAATAAAATGTATTAATACTTGGGTGAAATTAAAATTTCCATACAGTATGTAACAATGGAATAAAATGCGTGGGCTCTGAAGCAGTGGTTATGCACAGATACAGTGCCTTGCAAAAGTATTCATACTGTACACTTCCTAGGGTTTCCCATTTACTGTAGTTAACTTCCAAAATCATATATACACCTTTTTTTAAATTGATATATTTAAAAAAAACTAAAATCTCAAACTAAATACTTCCAAAGGCAAGACAAGTCACCTTTACCTTGGCAAAAATTAAAGAGAAAAATGAACAACAGGAGCTGCATTAGTATTCAGAGCTGTAAACTCAATATTTGGTGGAAGCACTTTTGGCAGCAATTGCAGCCTCAGGTCTTTTTGGGCACTTCTCTACCAACTATACACACCAGCCTTGTGTACTTTTCCCCCATTTTTCTTAGCTGACATGATTAGGTTCTCTCAAGTTGCTTGAGGATTGCTTAAGGCCAGCAGTTTTCAGACACTCAAGGACATTCACTTTCTTATTCTTAAGCCACTCCAGTGTAGCTCTGGCCTTGTGCTTTGAATTATTGTCATCCTAAAAGGTTAATTTATGTCTCAGTTTTAGCTCTAAAGATGGTTTTTTCTGTAAAGATTTGATTTTTTCTGTAACCTTACAGAGATACAGTAGGTATATTTCTTGTCAAATCATGTGGATCATTATTATTACAGACAAAGGCCACTCAACAAATTGTGTGTTATGTTAAGGTATTTTTACAAATTTTAATACATTTATTTAGGTTTGCCACAGTAAAGGGGTTTGACTAGTTTTCCATTTTTCTTCTAAATCAATTAGCTATTAACTTTTTTACATTTTGGTTTGAATACGTTGTAATATGAATATTACATATTGAATATGTTTGCTTTGAAGGCTTTTATCATATAATGAATTTATATATAATACATTAATTGATACTTCAAGCATCATGGCTGCAAGTTTTCAAACAAAATATGAAAACCAGGCAAAGATCTACAGTAAATACCTCTGCAAGGCACTGTTATCATGACTCACTAAAAAATGAAAGGACCAAGACTTTGCAGTGCATGACATTTTTACAGCCCTTAAAGAAAACTAGTGCAGAATTAACATAAATATTTAACACAGAAAATAACTGTCATCCGACATTTTAAATGGAATAATTTAAAACGTTTTCACAGCTTATTAGCTCATTATTAGTATTCAAACACTCCAATTTTATTCTTACAGTTCACAGATATAGAGTAAGAATAGCAAATATTACCCACAAATATACAGTGCATGTTAGACTGAAAACCATTAAATTGTTTTCCAGTGTTTTTCATCGGACATATTTATTTGCAATGTATCACAGAAAAAAATGAAATATGAAACAACCACTTACCAAATTATATAATAAATACAAATTACATTTTCGCTTCTTTCGTTATTTCATATGCATTTTACCCCTTTTTTGGGTGCTTTTACTATTTTGACATACTGTAGAGCTTGATAAAATACTGTCATTGAAAACTAGAAAAAAGGGTAAACGTTTGGTCCTGTGTTTTAAGAGCTCCTATTCTCTATTGGAGTAGAGAATCCTGTGTCAATTGTTTTACTTCCCCAGAATGCTCTGAGCTGAATGGTTGCATGTTGAGAGGTACAAGTTTAGCCAGCCAGAACCGTGGGATTAATGAACTGAGAGCAGAACATTTTCGAGAAAGCAGTCCAGCTCTCTATGGAAATTACACGGTATTTTCTTTTATATTGTCACCGCAGGAAAGCCAAATACCTGTTTTTTTCATGTAATCCTGTCAAAGAAATCTTTCATGGTGGTATTGTCGGACTGAATAGTGCAGCAGGACTGACTTTTTAAAAGTATGATTGAAGTCTTTTTTTAAAATTTAATTTCTCAAGGGACATAAAAATGCATTTCATCAGCACTCTCCTTTTAATTTCCCACTTCCACAGCCTTCCAACATTAAGTTGTCATGGCTCTCTGTCGTTATTTCTCCTCTCATTATTACGTCCCAAGAGCAAAAAGGTGGCATCACTACTGTACATGTGCAAAAGAGGCAAATTGAAACAGCTTCTTTAGTAATTGTTCATAGATGTTTAATAACATTTATTAACGTGATACAAGTTATGTTAATAATTACATTAACATTTATTATGTTTATAAATATTAATAACATAATTAACAGTAGTTCATATAGTTAATAACAATTGTTCATAGCAACAACAATACATTACCCAATATAATACTGGAATCTTATCTGAAACCATAAAGTTGAAGATCACAGTTGAACAACACAGCAAAATAAAAAAACTGCAGAGCAATTTGCGGAGCAATACACTGCTGTATCATATACACAGATTCCTAAAAAATAAATATAGCAGTTTATTTTAGGTAAGGAAGGTTCTGCAGGATGAAATAAATTTGCCTGTGATCAAATTGAAAAAAATGTTGATCAAACAAATGACTTCTTTTTAGGTGTAGTAAGCACCATTTGACACATGCCCCTTGAAATAAACATGACTGGGAATTTATATCATTTTTGTTATGTTTATATTTGATCACATTGAAACAATTAAAACTCATCCTGAGATACGTCACAATTTAAATTTAGCCTCTCAAAGACAGAAATCTGTAAAAATCTGTAAAAAATGTACTGATAATAACTTACAACAGTCATGGTATACTGAAATTGTTCATTATTAGGTCACTCCAGTCAAAAACAACCCTGCATTCCTGACCAAAAAAATAAATGTCATAAAAATGATGTCAGGCATTAAACTTACCAAATCTCATAACTGAATGTGATAACGATTTCCAATAAAATTAGAAAATAGAAATATGTTTGCAGAACGTGTCTGGTTTTTGAAACAGCAATATATACTCAAATTATTTCAGAACACTCTGGGGTATAATTCCTTGAACCAGCACATTCACACATGGTGATTTTTTTTTATTATAAAAAGGCACAACTGTTCTAAACTTCCTTTGTACTAAAATAAATCTTCTGAAGTTTAATCTAACACAGACTCCCTGTTGTGTGATTAAAGCTCTTTTTCTGCTTGTAAGTGGCTTGAGATTTTTTAATATAATTTAGGTAAAATCACGTTTTGGGGGGCTTCAACAATTACTAGAGGATTCATCCGTTCATCCTAAAGGATTACAAAGTACTTGACATATAGGAAGGGACCAACTTCATCCACCACTATGGTGCATCATCCACCTGGGTGATATACAACAGTCATTTTAAACCAGCAGCCTCACTACACAGCAGATCAGATTGAAAAGAGAATACCTGCTTCACCAGTTGAAATAAGGAACACATTTTGGAAGACCAGATTGCAGAAACCAAATGCAATCTTCGAACTTCAAACAAACAGCCAATTATTAAATAACAGAACGTATGTGCTACGAATGCTTTTTGTTTGTTTTGAACAGGAAATTAAAGAATAAAATAGGAAACAGGCCTATTTGTTAATACGTTTCACTTGTTTTCATTAACAATTCAAGCAATACAAAACTTTTGACTTCAGTTTAAAGTAATGAAAGAAAGAAAAGCACACCACCCTACCATTTTATAGAAACATCCTTTAATTAATCCTGACACTGTTAACTACTGAGAAGGCAATGTTGTGTAATGGACTATACATTTTTCTCAGTACTGGTGGTCTTCTGTTATGCTTAGAGTAGCTGCAGAGACTAATGTAACATTTTTCCAATTTTGCCAAAATCAAGCATCACGTCTAATGCTTATTTCAGTAAATTAGGTGTATTTTCAGTGCCCTTCAAAAACTGCCAATATTGGACACAGAACGTCTGTTCTTTTACAGTATACTATATAGATGTTTATTGCTAATCTCAAACCAAACTGAAAACACACTAAATTGGCCCCAATATCTGATTTCTTTGCTGTTTTTCCTATTTTCTAGTTAAACCTCATGAAGCACACAATTCCAGCCACAGTTTTGTGGCTTACTGTACTTTTGACTCCTACTAGAATAGAATGGCATACTGTATACAAGGTATAAACACATGTATGGGCTCATCCTTTTCCATGTTTATTTTTAACCATGTGACATTCCTTATAAATGGCCCCTGACAGATTGTTTTCCAGTAAAAAACACTAACAATCTGCTGATTACAAAAGGGGGGCACTGCGTTTCACTTAACCTCTCAGCCAGAGAGCTTTGTTTCTCATCAGTCAAGGACCTTTTACAGTTGACACTGGTCAGCAGCCATTTATCTTACATTTCAGTCCAGCAGTTTCCCAATTTGGTTGTATTTTCATTATTACTGCAGTTATACTTTTTTGTTCAATGTTTAGAATAAACACATTTAATAACTATGGAAAAATATCCTAAGCCCAGAGGCCACCAAATAAATCATAATGATTTTGTAAGAACGCCATTACTTTACCTTGGGGATGTGGTGAATGTGGTGAAAGCTTCACTTTTCGAATGCACTGGGATTTGAACGTCTGAGCAATTTAGAATATTTGTTCTGGGTATGTCTTTGTGTGATGGAACTGTTATGCATTCTTTGGAAATACTGCTGTAATAGCAGAGATAAGCTACTGTAAACTGTCTCTGCATAAAGGGCAAATTGCCGCTAGTTACTTTAATATAAAAACAATTCCAGGTCTAGTTTTACTATAGCCAATTCCTACAGTATTTGTTTAGTATTATCTGCATGGTCAGCAGCTCTCACAGTTCAGAGATATCAATCAGTACCATGCCTGTTGTTTCCGTTAACTGGGCAAGAAAATGTCTTGTTGGTAGTTTTGATAGAAGTGTGGCTTATGTATCTGTGTAACAACAATAAATAATCATAGTACAACAGGGCAAAAAAGACCCCTTGAATATAATTAGAAAGCAAAAATATTCCGTAGTAATAAGAAAAGTGAACTCCCAAATCAGAGTAAGTAAAAACAGGAACCACGATGCTTACTGTCAATCTTTGCACAGTAGGTGTTGATGGTACAAAGACCATCAAAGAGTACAAAGAGTCGCAGAAGATGTCGTTCATTTTTATTGAACCTGTCAATGCTCATGGAAGGTTAACCAGGCGACAGAAGAGCTGAGTGATCTATAATCACCCAAGATATTCAAGTTTTTGCCCGGGAGGATATGCCAATTACCTAGGAAACATCACCTTACAGTTTCGCTAAGCTGTTTCCACTGGTCAGTGTATTTGGAACTGGTTAGGCTATAGGAGATGCAGGAGCAGAGGAGGTCTTTTATCAAGTCTGCCTATTAGGTCCCTACTTCTAAGCTGAATTAAACCAGTGCTGATGAGTGCAGTCTATACTGCAACAATGTAAATGTAAATCCACAGCTCTTTAGACAGCATTTTCTCCCTCCGGGTTAAGTAAGGACATGCATTCCCAAGGAGTTCCTCTGCCTGAAGTCATTGTCTCCTAGCTTGCTTGTTTACGTCCAAGCACAAGACAAAGCCTCACTTGACAACTGCACTTACAGATTGAGTCTTGTTTACAAATTATTTTTAGGTTTACATCAGAGTACCTTGTCAGATCGAAATAGTATAATATTTCAAATGCGAAAACCATTTGAAATAAATAGAAGCGACAAAATGCATTCTTAAGATTAAGACTTGGATGAAGTCAAAAGGTTGACCCATCCCTGAAATGCCAATTATAAACACAGTATTTTATTACAGCTTTGTGTTTGCTATCAGCCTCTTGCCTTTTTTGAAAGGAAACCAAGCACCAAATACTGGGTTTGTAATCTGCAATTGAAGGGCTGCGATTTAAGTTTGGTCCAAATGCTGTTCTAAGAAAAAGAGAACAAAAATAATACAAACATATTGAGCATTTAAAGATATCGGCTGGAAATAAAGAATCAGAAAAATAAAAATGCAAAAAAAAATAGAGACCAAAGAGTTTCCAACATTACTGCAAGAGTGAAGAAACTTGTAACAACGTAGACAAAAGGCAGGAACATGGAAAAATTCTGGATCTAGGAAATATGAGAAAATAAGAAGATGAGATAAAAAACACACTTATTAAAGAATAAGAATGTGCCAGCTGCTCATAACGCAACCATGATGGATTAATTGTTATTGTGAAATGATAGCAATACTTACTCCCACTTGGAAAGGCCCAGTGAAGTAGTCAAGATTTGCCTGGATGAATCCAATGTTGTTTAAGCCAAGCTCACGGCATCTGTTCTTAGCTCTGACCAGAGACTCCTCTTTGTTCTCTATCAGTAAAACCTGAAAATTGCATGTAAACAAATGCCTTAAAACCAATAACCGACTGCTTCAAAACATAAAAGCTGACCCACTTCTTGGCAACAAATAAGCATTAAGTTGGTAGATTATGTCTTTTGTAGTTCATATGATTGGATTGGATTATTATAATTGTATCATTCGTTACACTGTTTTGTGTTGACTGTGTTAAGCTGCTGTTGCACTGCAATTTCCCTCATGGGATCAATAAAGTATCTATATGTCACTGCAATGACTACATCGCTGTACAAAGATGAAACACACATACTGTATAGGTTTTTTCCCCAGTTTGGCTCACTTGCAATGAATGGAACGTTTGAACAAGATGTAGTCCATAATAGAAGAAAGGGATAGTTTCACTGAGGCCTCACCTGGCATTCTGGTAAGGTGTGAGCAAGAACAATTCCCACATGACCCTGAAAACAAAGACAAAATAGAGAAATTCAAAGAGGACATCGCACAGCTTCAGTCCATTTCTAGGTATCTATCATAACATTGACACAGACCTGAGAACGTACAATAGGGTAAAAACTCAACATCGTCTCAGGAATGACTGCATGGCATGACAAGAATTCTGCGCGGGAGCACGATGAAAGGAGACAGGTCACTGATACAAAGCATTACTTATACACTACCCCTCCACTGCAGAAATCCACTACAGTGTCACCAGGCTGGGCCGCTTTTGTCACCATGGCAACAAGGTTGTTCAACTGCTGCTGTTTCCTCAAAGCACGGACATCTGACATTTTTCCTGAAACCAAAAACAAATTTTGTTAACTGTGTCATTAAAGCATACGCAATTTTAATATGCTAATTACTATGACTACATTCTTTCTTAGAAGCCGTGGGGTTTGTATTTACCACTAAGTTACACAGTGCCTGTACCATGGTAAAACAGTGATAATTGCAGTTTTGTACACAGAGGAAAATTAGGCCTACAATCCTTTGTAAAAAAAAAAAGAATATTGTGATGTAAAATGATTGAGCAAATGGTGTTTAAATAGACTTCTTTAAAAACAAAATGAACAAGTGCACGAGTTTAAACAGATGCAAATGCAAAAGCTGCAAAACACTGTTCTCGGATATGGTCTGATGTTGCTTGTTACCTATTCAGGTAATTCACCATGAAATGTTTCTGACAGTTTGAATTTAAGGGAATGGGATAAGAGGAAGCATATCAATTCAAAATTGCTTTCACAAAAATTTCCCCATGATTCACTGCACGGTGACACACTGATTGACTTCCCTGCTATGTATTTATTTTTTTGCAGTCGGTTTCCAACAGCTCAGTAGTCTGGAAAAAAAAACACTGCAATGCAATCCAAACAAAAGGAATGACAAATAGCAAGTATGAAATACGATAAAATGAAACTGCTCTATGGTTTTACATAAATAGAACATTTAACTCTCCCCAGTGTAATCTTGAAATGGGCCAGAATTAATCTTTCAACAACAAAGGACAGGACTGGTGTTGTATGTGATGCTCCAACTTGCAGATGTGCTGTAAGAATCACGGATTACGATTTTTTAAATGGAAGGTTTTGCTGAAGCTCCTTAAAAAATCCCAACATATAACAAGTGTTCATCTGCATACTAAAGTATTGAAAAGGTGTCTTACAATTGTGGTGAAATTATCTCCGCATAATTTTATTCACTTTTTTTTAACTGTAAAAAAAGTCCTTGAAAAACTTTCAATGCTCATGCAACTGTGCTTTAACACAATAAAGACACCACCCAGAAGAGAGGTCTTCACATTACAGGTAAAAATTAATGAGGGCCATCCTTTTCTTCAAGGGGCAGGAAGTGTTTATGTGAGCTAGTTTGCAAGTGGGACCTTTTCAGTTTATGCTTTGCTCAAATTACAAAGCAAAAAAAAATCCCTGTTAAAATGCCTCCCAGAAATGCTGTTAAACACCTTTGTAAATAAAGGGTCCTCATTTCCCCTTTTATCCTTCTAGATTTTCTGATTATTTGTAATATTTTGCAGCTGTGGTGCACCATGAGTGATTTTGCTATATTAAGTGATCACTTGCCTATTTTATAAGTCACGTCTGTTTCAAAATAATTCCTTGCCTAACTTTCTGCCTTACATACTCTTTTAAAACAGCAGAGTGGGATTCCACTATGCAGGTATGCCATCTGGGTGATACGAGAACAGTAGCCAATGTTTTGCCAAACGAAGATTCCAGAGATTTGGGAAGAACAATGGAGGAAGGATGTCCCTTATTAACTCAAACCATATTTCTGAACCTTCAATCCCGAAATCAGCATCTGGCTGTTACTCTATCATGGGTGTAAATCAGAAGTGATGACGGTTTTCTTTTGCTTTGTGTCACGCTATAATAAGCAGTATGCTGGAATAGCAGCAACACATTATACACGCTTTTCCTTTTCACGCATTTCAGAAAATGATGCATGTCAGTCGTCATACCATAATTGTGTAAAGTAGGAAGTTCAAACTGTATCGTCCAGCAATCCAGCTTGAAAAAGCTGCTTATTCCTGGTCAGGGTCATTGAGACCCTGGAGTCTACTGCAAAGCAGGAGGCCAGTCCAAGTACATACCCACACAAGGTCCATGGGGACATTTTAGAGACACCAAATAACCTTGCCAACACATCTTTAGAAGCTGGGAGTAAAGTGCAACATCCACAGAAAACAGATTTGTACGAGGGTTGACCATGCAAACTCTTTCCCACATGCTTGCTCTATTTTCAATTCTGTATAAGATTTTTTTTTTAATTCTGCTTATTCGTGGTAATAATCATGTTTATTCCATGAACACCCTTCTGTGCCTGGCTATTAAATCCAGGTGGAGATCAAGTCCTAAATCACCAAAATAATAACAAGAAAACTGAGAGCAGGTAAGTCAAGGAATTATATCATTTAACCGATTACTAACTGTACAGTATATGATCTTGATTAGACAGAAGGAACAGCATTGTAATACATTGTAATTTTACATTAGTCAGTTTTTAGAATTGACCAACGTGGAAAATGACACACTTGGGAATACAAATTTTGATAGGAGAAAACAAATGCTAAAAGTATTGATGAGTTAGATGAGTGCCATTTACTACTATCCACTGCAAACAATGGCAGCCCACTCTTTCATGCAACCAGCTCATAACAGGCAACTCCAAACACCTGTACAGCCCGTGTGCCTACATTACACAAAAGTGAAAAAAACATAAAATAAAGGCGACGAGAGACATCAGTGCAGTAACCAAGCATCGGGTTCAATAAAGGAAGCAAACGTGATCCAACTAGCAAAGTGTTCTAAATTCAGGATGCAAATTATAGCTATTAACACCTTCTGTCCCGGGGCACTCAAGTCTGTATTAAAAAGATTATGTTGGTGCTTCCTCCAGTGATCCCGCAGAAGCCTGGAGATAAACCACATGACATTCAGAATGCTTTGCCCGCTGGATCAGGTTAAGACCTGTGAAAAAAAGGCACTTGGCCCACATATGTAATTCAGCACAGAAAGCGCTGTAGCCATGTGTTGGCTTTCTTTGATGTGCCATTGTGCTACAATAATTCGATCAGCAGTCATGAGGGCTTTCATGAGCCCGGTGAGCAGATTGGCTTGCAGCTTACACTTCTCATCTGAAGGCACTTTTGGTGGTGTTGCAGCATTTATCACCCAACAATTAAAGCTGCACAGCACCTAGCAATTTCCACAGCAGGCATTCTCATAAATAAAGGAATCTGCCTCAAATAAATTGTTAACACCTCACAGCAGTACAGATGGGATGGGACACCCATATATATAGCAACAGGTGTGTAACAGCTTAGTTACTTAAGGCACATTTTCCCCCAAAAAAGTATGGTGTGCAACAAAAGACTTGCTGGAATGTAAGAGGGAAATGTTTACACATACTGCTGTTTTGGAACGTATCTGACAAGAGATTAATTAAATTTTTCTCAGTCAGGTTATAGAGAATTGATGTAGTTGCATACAATGTATATATATATATTATTTTGTGGACAGGTCTTTTAAAATCATTATGAAAGCAAAAAGGAATTAAAAAATTCAGCCAAGAAAGTTTCTTTGTAAAAATATATTACATATATATTCAAATATATCAAACTTGTTGCTTATCAGTTTTTACTGTTCTAGCTTCCTTCAGAAAGTCCAAATTCTTCCACACATTTCTTCCTACAGAACACAGAGGTGCATGGTCTGGAAATACACAGTACAATAAGAGCTCTGTTAGGCACAAGAAGGCACTTATGTTTGCCGGGGAAAACAATATGATCTTTTAAAATAGCAGTAGTCCCACCTATGATACTTAAAAATACTGAGGATTTCAATTAGACTAATCAATTAAATAAATCAATGCTGCAGTTTTCAAATTTCTACCTACCTACAGTACCAAAAATGCATAATGCAACCTTGGGATTCATTTAGTAATTAAAAGAAGAAGAAGAAAGTTCTTCGAATTTGTCCTTCACTCTCACTCATACTATTAGAAAAAAAAAGTTTTCTGTAGACTGTCAGAAACATTTTTTCAGAAACAACAATCTTTTTGCTGTAACATGGATAGTAACCTTGTTTTTATTAAAACTCTCACCTTCATGTCTAATACCTTGCTCCTGCAAAAAACAGAAAATGTTTATAGTAAAGGTCATTTAAAAGGGTGAGGCAATTTTTATGGCATAGTGATATTTTTAAACCGTAACAATGTGCTCCAAGAACGTGCTTCAACATTTTATGTTCTCACAGGTAAAAACATTGCAGTGTGACTTGGGCTCTGTTGGAACACACTCGCATTTGAAATGTTCCTGCAGTCAGGAACACAGCATCTGCGTTATCAAGCACTTATTATGATACTACCAGGTCTTCTCATCTTCTAATGCAAAAGCAGTAAATGTAAATATACTGGAGCATGAGTGATTGAGATCGGACATTGTGATGTACAAAGAAGGAATCTTTAATGCCCTCTTAAAGGGAAACGCTATTTTTATATTTCGGGGTTAGAAAGAATCAGCATTGATGATTGCATTTTAAACCACAATAAAAGTAATATGTACACAGTAACTTGTAAAATCTTCAATTTACATAATAAAATAGATTAAATTTCCAGGTATGCGCAGTGCCAGGTTCTGCGATTCAGAATGAGGCCGGGGACGTACGCTGCCTTATTACATTGTAATCACGCAGGCTTGTGAATACCTCTACTGTATGTTAATCCAATAGAAATATTGCCCTCGATTTAGAGATGATTTTTGCCGACAAATATTATTTATTCTTCAACATTAGAACATTTCTGTGTTGAAATATGTGCTGTACAGCCTGTTCTTATTTGTTAATACATCATATAACATTAGTAATTAGAGGGACTAGTGAGCAGGAAGGGCCGCATCATGTCGCAATTTGCACAAACTCAACAACTTGGTGACTATACTGTACTTTCGCAAAGTTCAATATTTTGTGCTTAATTTGAAAATTGTAAGATTTTTCTATGACATCAATGGATTTATTTTGTTACTGAGATTTAATAACCGGTCTCAGAAACTGGGACAGCAGATCCTTTTTAATGTAGGGAAAGGGCAAATCTGAAACTGAACTGGTAACTGAAAGCAAAAGAGAAAAATGGAGCCCAGGCCAGACTTTTAAGCTGCAGTGTCAGTTCTGGCATGAATAAAGAAAATTCACTCAGTTTTCTTTAGTTTCCCTTTGTCTCCTTGGAAACCTACAGTAGCCTTCTCCCTGGCCCCCAATGAAAATAACAGCTGTGTCTGCCAAA